ATGTCATAAATCTACTAATAATTGTAATAATTATTATTTTTCGAGTCACCCCAAGAGCAAGGTGGGGAGTTCTTGGAGGGAAGGATGCCGATAGTCTATTGGAAACAGTCTCTCTACCCCATGGTAAGGGTAAGGTATGCGCATACACTACCCTCCCCAGACCCCACTAGTCGGATTATACTGGGTTGTTGTTGTATATTATTTTCAAAAATAAAGTAAATTAAATTCTTCTCCACGTTTGTATTTAATATGAAAGTTTAATTTTTTTTATTAAAATTACTACATAATAAATTTAATTATATCTATACTCTATAGTTTGAGCATTCTTATCATAATTTTAAGAATTTTTTAATCTCAAATTCAAATAGTCTTTCCCTTTCATTTCTAATAGTAATTTTTTAATAATTTTCTTTAATTTTGCTATTTTTTATCTAATATATAGTCTTATTACATTTTATGTGGCTCATTAACTTGTAACTTTATTTAATATTATTATCAACTACTATTCTTTAATATTATATAGATAAATATATAATCTTTTTAAATCATAAAATAAATATTTATTTTGTTATGAAAATATTGCTCGAAAATTTTAAATTTGTTAATAATATTTTAAGTATTGTATATTTACTTTATTTTCTAAACTTATGATTTATAAATATCCTCATATTATCTCTAAATTGTTTTTATTATTCAATATTTTTAGTTTTTAATTTTATCTATTAGACTTGAGTTACGTGGACTTATCCATATTATGACCTTTCTTATCATAATATAAAAAAAAACTTTCTCATCACAAATTTAAATAAGTTTTACCCTTTTTTCTATGATAAAAAATCTAAATTTTTATTTTTTTCTCCATTTATTCTTTAGTTTTGCTATTATATTATTCAATACCTAATATTATTACATTGTCATGTGACTTTTCATTAGCCTGTTTGAATTTAATATTTATTTCTACCATACTCATTCTAATATAATATAGATAAAAATTTAAAAAGTATTTCAGTAGTAACTTTGACTTTATTGTTCATATTCCAAAATATGAGTTTTACCCTTTTTTTTTATGATAAAAAATATGAATTTTATTTTTTTCTCGATTTATTCTTTAGTTTTGCTATTATATTATTCAATACCTTATATTATTACATTGTCATGCGGCTTTTAATTAGCTTGTTTGAATTTAATATTTATTTCTACCATACTCATTCTAATATAATATAAATAAAAATTAAAAAGTGTTTCAATAGTAACTTTGACTTTATTGTTCATACTCCAAAATATGATTTTTCTTATCATATTTCAAAAAATAATCTTATCTCAAGTTCAAAAAATTCGTATCATTCTATTTTCTAAGAAATATTAGTTGTTATTTTATTATTTTTTATAATGTACAGAAATATAACAAATTTATACAAAATCAAATGATACATATCATATGCTATAGTAATCAAATAAATTTATCAATAATATTTTTGAGTACTATTTATTTACTTAATTTTATCAAATAAATTTAAAGCGTGGATAGAATCACATTATATCTATTATATGTCATAAATCTACTAATAATTATAATAGTTACTATTTTTATATTATTTTCAAAAATAAGGTAAAATGAATTCTTCTTCCCGTTTGTATTTAATATGAAAGTTTAATTTTTTTAATTAAAATTACTACATAATAAGTTAAATTATATCTATACTCTATAGTTTGAGCATTCTCATCATAATTTTAAGAACTTTATAATCTCAAATTCAAATAGTCTTTCCCTTTCATTTCTAATAGTAAATTTTTAATAATGTTCTTTAATTTTGCAATTTTTTTTGTATAATATGTATTCTTATCACGCTTTATGTGGCTCATTAACTTGTAACTTTATTTAATATCATTAACAACTACTATTCTTTAATATTATATAGATAAATATATAATTTGTTTAATCATAAAATAAATATTTATTTTGTTTTGAAAATATTGCTCGAAATTTTTAAATTTATTAATAATATTTTAAGTATTGTATGTTTACTTTATTTTCTAAACTTATGATTTATAAATATCCTCACATTATCTCTAATTTATTTTTATTATTCAATATTTTTAGTTTTTTTGATTTTATCTATTAGACTTGAGTTACGTAGACTTATCTATATTATGACCTTTCTTATCATAATATAAAAAAACTTTCTCATCCCTACATTTAAATAAGTTTTACCCTTTTTTCTATGATAAAAAAATCTAAATTTTTTTTTTCTCTATTTATTCTTTAATTTTGCTATTATATTATTCAATACCTAATATTATTATATTGTCATGTGACTTTTCATTAGTTTGTTTGAATTTAATATTTATTTCTACCATACTCATTTTAATATAATATAGATAAAAATTAAAAAGTATTTCAGTTGTAAATTTGACTTTATTGTTCATTTTCTAAAATATGAATTTGTTTTTATCATATTTCAAAAAACAATCTCATCTCAAATTCAAAAAATTCTTATTATTCTATTTTCTAAATTGGACCGTATTTTCAAAAAATTATGTTATGCTTTTAAACTTAAACTAACCGCACTCAATTCAAATATTAATCATAGAAAAATATTTCTTAATTGTTTGAACATATTGTATCTAAATGTTGTAGTAATATTTACGTATAAAATATTCATCGCCTGATTTATCAATATTAATATGACTTTATTATTTTTATTATTAAAATATTTTTTACTGATTATTTAATTTTTTTTCTTACATTATAAATAATTTGAATATTTTATATAAGATCTTATTTTGTTGCTTGAATTTTTTTATTTTTTAAAGTCAATAAATCTTTAATATCTTAAGTAAATTTTAGTTTTATTTTATATTTTAACTTACTCCGAATAATAAATAATCACATGTTATTTAAATTTACGTCTTTCTATATTTTTTATTTTTTCTATTATAATTTTTTAATTAATTTTTTACCTCCATATTTCTAGTTAATATAGAAGAAAATCTATGAGTGGATCAATATATAGATATAAATATAGATATAGATACAAATATACATATACATATAAATATAAATATAGATTAGATTTGTCTAAGATCTACTTAGAATATGTATAAGATTCATTCAACTACTTCTATTAATTATGTTTCCATTTATAATTTCTAATTATTAATGTTGTCCTAAAATTATCAAGTGGCTTCATTATATAGTTTGCCACTTGGCTTAACCATAATACATACTACCCAATTTTTAATATAACTAGTAGTCATACCCGCGCTATGCGCGATCAATATTAAAAAAATATTAATTAAATTAAATTATGATCGGGCTTGTTTGAACATATTAGACCGTATTAATAAATTTTAATTGTCATCTTATTTGTTAATATGATATACCCAATAATAAAATCTCTATCAAATTAAAGAGACTTATATAGTTATTGAATAACTTTTTTGTTCTATATTTTTCTATATTCTATTATCCAATATTTAGTATTTGTAGACAATAAATTGCGTCGAGAAAATAAAATCAAGACCGAAAGATATTACAACAATCGTAGTATTTGATTTTAAATAATATGAGTGTACAATCTCTATAAATCATCTGATTCTTCTTTTCAATAGTAAATAAATTCAAGGGCCTTTGAGCTTGATCTTGAACCTGTATTTGCTGTCACGAACGATGATCTTGAATTAAACTAGCATGAACTTTGATTTAAACTCGTACTCCTTGAATCTTGATTTGTTCTTCGTTCTTGAGCTTGAACTTGATTTGTTCTTCGTTCTTGAGCTTGAACTTGATTTGTTGAACTTTAACTTGATTGCTTGAAGCTTGAAACTTATGGAGGAATTTGCAGCGTTTGATCTACGAGCTCTTTCTTGCTTCTTGTTATAACTTATGGTATCTTTCTGGGTTATGATGACCCCTATTATAGTTGTGGAAAGGAAGAGTTATGATAATAACAAACTCTTTTCGACCAATTAGATTGAAGCATGACATGACCACATTTGATTGGCCGGAACATGTCACTTGCACATGTGGCACGGTTTCATTGGTCTTTTAATTTGACTTGACATGCCTTGTCATTTTGATACGTGGCACGATTCTATTGGCTCTTCCGTTTGACTTATCATGCCACGTCATTTGACACATGGCACCAAACTGGGCCTTTAAGAAGACGACGTATTGGGCCTAATGAAGTGGGTTCATCATTTGTAGCCCAATTATATGGGCTAGCCCAGTCAATATTATTAGACTTAAATAATTAATTTAATTATATTAGCCCATAATATTTATTTAGACTAATATATTTAAAATAGACCAAATTATTTTATTGAATTTAAATTCAATAAAATTTGCATGCCTACAATTGCTCCTATTTCAAGACTCGCCGGCAGTAGACATATCATGACTTAAAGATAAGGATTGAAGTATTATGAAGACATCAAATGGGATGATTTTGAACTCCCCATTTACTAGCCTAGGCAATTTATTTGTAATGAAAATCTTGTCAGTTGCTTGAAATTTGCTTATAATAGAAATTCATTTTTTAAGATGACAATGGAAAGCCACGCAAGCTAGAAAATTTTGACATTTGAACAATGATTTTCACTTTTGCTTTACTGAAACATTGATGGCACGTGACCACCTTTTTCATTTGAAGTTCTTACTCATAAATCCGTTGAAGAGTCATAAGTAAGCATTATTTCTAATGAATATGTACAAATCCTATTTTACCACACAGTTTGATGTCGAATGTTTCCAAATCCTTTTCTAAACCAAATAACTTTGGTTGACTTTACTATTTATTTTTATTTAGAAGCGGGAGTTAGCAGCTCTTCGTCGTCTGTAGGGGTATTTTGGTAATTTTGTTCGTGTTACTTTTGCCGCGATTCAAATGACTGTTATGCCCTATGTAATAATTTCTGACTTCATTCTTTCCCCGGCTTTTGTATAAATAAAAGTAAAAAACAAGGGCAACGCTAACCTAAAAAGGCGGCCGTACCGACGGACCCATCATATTTACAAAGCAATCCGTCATGTTTGACATGCAAGTTCTGAATTGTTTTGCTTTCCATCCCCTTTCGGTACTCTGTCTATTTGTCTCTCTCTCTCTCTCTCTCATTCCCGGATATACTCTCTTTGTTGTTTGCTTTGGAATTGAAGGAATTTCTGGGTTGCATGTGTAAGATTTTCTAAAAAAATTCTTGTTTGTTGCTTTATTTTTTAATAAGTTTGTGTTTGTTCTGATTTTACTGTTAGTCGAATTGAAGGTTTTCATACTTAGCTTCGATTTAGATTTCTTCTCGCTATAGGGAAGAGTGTCGTCATAGAGAATTTAATTAGAAATGGTCAAGGAACTGTTTGGAGCTTATTATTAGAACATTTAAATGAAAAAATATGCTTCATAATCTCTATTTAGCATTTCCTGGGGTTTAGGGCCATTTCTTCAATTGGAATGCAATTATGTTTGTGTTTCCTTTATGTTTTGGGATACTAAGGATTAGAATGCATTTTGTTTTTCAATTTGAAAGTTTTGGAATTTCATGTCAATCTGAGATTTTTTTTTTGATAATTTTCTCTGTCTGAGCTTTCCTTTAATCTTCTGTGAATGAAATCACTATTGAGGGAGGTCTAATGTTTTGTCCCCGAGTCTTGCGAATGAGATGAGAACGTTTATTGAGCTGTTAGCGAATGCATAGAAGCTGCTTGATAAAATAATCTTGTATGCTTATATCTAAACCTCCTAACGGTAATCGTCCAAAATTCTTTTTTTCTTATTAACTGCAAAGGAAAGGGAAAGAACTGCTAAAAGATTCTGAGATTCTGCTTAACAACATGACTTGGCAACATAATAAAGTGACAAAATATATCCACTTCTCTGGAACTTGCTCTTGGTAAAATGCAAGGAAGTTAGATTTGTCACGATATTATGTAAGTTAGATTTGGTTGAGGTTCACCTTTAGCCTTGTCTATTAACTGTGGACCATGAAGAATGCTACCTTATATTTATAGTCCAGAGGCTGGTTATAATATACTCCCTCCGTTCACTTGGACTTTGCACACCCCTTAAGAAATAATAAATGAAGTGCATAATTTATCATGATACCCATATTAATTGATGAATATTTTTAATGGATTTGAAATAAGTAATTAATACTGTGGGTAAACAAGAAAAAAGAAATTGTCATTCTCTTGATATGCTAAAAGTGACAAGTAAAAGTGTCTATTTTTAGAATACTAAACAAGTAAAAATGAACGGAGGGAGTAGATGATTACACTTAAAAATGATTAATGATTTCAGCAACTATGCTTGTTGAACCTTCTGAATTAACAATTGATAAATCCTACTTCGTCTGGTACCTTGAATGTTAATTATTTTTTCATGTCGTGATACGTGAAAGCTAGAAACAAATGAGGTTTATTGTGCAGCAGATGAATTGGCCAGATAACAGTGATGGAGCTTGGTTTAGACGTCGTCCTGTTCAGAATTTTATTAGAGAAAGGTATATTTGCTAATTATAAACCCCTCCTTTTCTTGAGAATACATGTATGAATATGAGAATATATTGGTGCTTTTAATTTGTTATCAAAGAGCAAAGTGTTGGATTATTTTCATTCCCAAATTTTCAATGTTTGAGGTCAGGGAGTTCCATTTGATATGAAAGCTACAAAGTAATCTACCAAAGCGACTAAATGCAAGTAAAGATGCTTCCAAGGGATAATCTATTGATAAATCTGACAACTTGAGAGATAACTTACCATCCTCTTATATTAGGAAGAATAAACTTCTATATAATTTTAAGGGTAAACATATGTGGTTAAATTGATATGAAGGATATAAAACATCTGTTGTCCTTTGTCCATGCATCAATATCAGTTCAGCTTTGACTTCCGCTGTCTGTTTAATTCTTAGCTGCAAATACAGTAATATCAGATGTCCTTTTTCTTTTGGTTTTTTTTTTGGGTAATATATAGTGAAGAGAGATGGAATGAATTGAATTCCTGTTTTATCTTTCATCTCCCGTAGTTGTAGTGATGTTGTAGTAGCTTACAAAATCGGAAAAGGCATTATTTGGTGCAAACTGTTTGCATATATGATCCTCGTCAATATGGTATGTGGTAGTGAAAAGGTTATACACTATGGATGATGGTCTTGTTTTTGAAAAGGATCCAAATATACCATCAGAACAAAATTTGCCAACTTGAGTATGTTGTTGTCCATTGTTCAACTGGAAAATTTTAAGGTGGAGTCTGGACAATTATTAGGATAAAGTTTATATTTTGTGCCAGGCTCCTCTAACATACCTATGCTTTATGCTTTATTACTTTGGCAGTGTGGTCCCTTCCTAATGGGTGATTGGCTAAAGTGGGCTTTAGTGACTGTTGTCCAATTTGTCATTGGTAAGCGTTTTTACGTTGCAGCAGGAAGAGCACTTCGAAATGGTTCCACAAACATGGATGTCTTAGTTGTAGTGGGGACTACAGCTTGCTATGTTTACTCTGTATATGCACTACTTTATGGTGCAATTTCTGGATTCTGGTCTCCAACTTACTTTGAAACAAGTGCCATGTTAATAACATTTGTACTTCTGGGAGAGTACTTGGAAACTCTTGCAACAGGAAAGACATCAGATGCTATCAGAAAGCTCGTAGAACTGACTCCAGGTACTACTATATTGCTTGTCAAAGGTAAAGGTACATGTATTCATAATTTCTTTTATTATTTCAATAACAGTGCCTACCAGGTTTTGTCGGTCAGAGATGCGATATACTACTGGCAAATGTATGTAAACAACCAACAACTTTTCCCAAAGTGAAAAAACCAATTCTGATAACAATGGACTCACTTTGAAGTTATGTTTGATTTGTCTATAGGTGGAGGAGTCATAGGTCAAAGAGAAATAGATGCTTTGTTGATTCAACCTGGTGATGTACTAAAAGTGCCTGGTGCAAAAGTTCCTGTTGATGGCGTGGTTACATGGGGTTCAAATCATGTTAACAAGAGTATGGTAACTGGAGAATCTGTTCTTGTTCTGAAAGAGGTCAATTCAGTAGTCATTGGTGGTACAATCAATTTACATGGTTCGTGTCACGACCCAAAATCCAACTAGTCGTGATGGCACCTAACCTATCCCGTTAAATAAGCCAATTTCCAACTAATCAATTTCACTAATAATTATTAAAGCAATTTAAGTGAATAAAGATCCTGATCTTATACAATCCCCAAGAACTGGTAGTACAAATCATGAGCTTCTAAGAATAGAGTATACAAAGCGAAAATGAAATAAATACATAGTCTATTTGAATAATACATAAACAGAGCTTTTATAAATCTAAGGCTTCCCTGAACAAGAGGCAGCTACAACAGGAACGCAGGTACATCTTCAAATCCCGCAACCATCGAGCACAGCAACAACGACAACCAATAACTGCACGCAATGTGCAGAAGTGTAGTATCAGTACAACCGACCCCATGTACTGAGTAAGTAACAAACCTAGTCGTAGGTTGAAAGTAGTGACGAGCTTCTACCAAGGTCAGACTTCTGAAAATAGTTCTGCCTTTCAAGTACATCAATGAAAACCCGAATCGTATACCGAAGATTACCAAAATATGAATAAGTTTGAAAACAATAAATTTCTCAAAAAAAAAATCTTTTCAATAATAAACAATATGTCTCATTTCCCCCCAGATAACCAGTGTAAAACAAATGCATCACTATGCCCATCTGTCAACATGTGAGAGAAATCATGAATAATGTGATATCGTACAGCATGAGGAAAACACATCTCTATGCATATATGTCATGTGTGCATGTCAATGCAACGTATCTCAGAGATTGCACTCATGCACTCACACTCTCAGAGTACTCAATCTCATTATCTCGCATTCTCTCTCACTGTGCTCAACACACTCAATCACTCAACGCTATACGATACCTGCTGCGGCGTGCAGCCCGGTCCCTGTTTATAGTCGACTGCGCTCACTGGGGGGTGTACAGACTCATGAGGGGCTCCTACAGCCNTCCGTCACCTAGCATGCGCGTCACCTCCCAACAATTCACAAAATACATATATTCAGGGTTCATACCCTCAACTCCAAGATTAGAAGAGTTACTTACCTGGAACAAGCCAAATCCAATGTCGAGCAAGCTAAGCAATGCTCCAGAAATTTCATTCTGCGCGTATCAACTTCCAAACGGCTCGAATTTAGTCACAATTAATTTGATTCAGTCAATAAAATTTATTGGAATTAATTCCATAAGAAAATGCTAATTTTCCATCAAAATTCGAAATTTAGCTCAAAAATCGCCCGTGGGGTCCACGTCTCGGAATCCGACGAAACTCACAAAATCTGACAACCCATCCAATTACAAGTTCAACCATACTAATTTCACTCAAATCCGACTCCGAATCGGTGTTCAAATCTCGAAAATTCATTTTTATAAAATTGTAGAAATTCCTTTGATTTCTTTTGAAAAAAATCAATAATCTAACGCCAAAAACGAATATTAATTCATGGAATATCATCACAAGGGAGTCAAGAACACTTACCCCAAGTTTTGTGAAAAATTTCCTCTCCAAAGTCGCCCAATCCGAGCTCCAAAATCCGAAAATGAAGAAAGAAACCAAAACCCACGATTTTATCTTCTGTTCAGTCATTTACTCTTCGCGATCGCGGAAAATGCTTCGCGATCGCGAAGAACAAAAATTTCCAGCCCAAAATTTGCCTTCCGCGATCGCGAAAAATGCTTCACGATCGCGAAGAACAAATGCCCAGCTCTTCCAGACAGCCTCTAGTATAATGGTCATAACTTTTTGTACAAAACTCCAAATTGCAATTGGTTTAGCTTTTTGAACACTAGACACCAATGGCTATAACTTTCATTTGTTGCTCATCTCCCAATTCTTTATACATTTCGAGATATAAGCTTCTAAAGGCAGCCCTGTGCAACAGAGAATTTCCAAACTCTTCCCAGACATCCTATAGTATATCCACCATAACTTTTTGTACACAAATCCAAATGACATTTGGTTTACATTTCTGAATACTAGACATCAAGGGCTACAACTTTTATTTTTGGATCATCTCCAAAGTCCTTATAGATTGCGAGATATAAGCTTCCAAAGTCGGGTCAGTGCAGCAGGATTTTCCTCTACGCGATCGCGAAAAGGCTTCCGCGATCGCGATTCACAGTGCCCAAACAACAAAATTGCTCTTGGCGATCGCGACCATTTGTCCGCGATCGCGATGCATACGTCTGTGGCCAAAAACCAGCAACTAAGAATGGCCTAGAAATGATCCGAAACCACCCCGAAATACACCCGAGCCCCTCAGGACCTCAACCAAATATACCAACAAGGCCTAAAACATCATACGAACTTAGTCGAAGCCTCGAATCACATCAAACAACGCTAAAACCACGAATCATGCTCCAATTCAAGCCTAATGAACTTTCAAATTCTATATCTTGTGCCGAAATACATCAAATCAATCCGGAATGACTTCAAATTTTGCACACAAGTCATAAATGACATAATGAAGCTATTCCAATTTCCAGAATTGGATTCTGACCTCGATATCAAAAAGTCAACCCCCGGTCAAACTTCCCAAAAATTCAACTTTCGACATTTCAAGCCTAATTCCACTACGGACCTTCAAATAATTTTTCGGACACGCCCCTAAGTCCAAAATCACCATACGGAGCTATTGGAATCATCAGAATTAAATTCCGAGGTCGTTTACACATAAGTCGACATTCGGTCACTATTTTAACTTAAGCTTTAAACTTGGAACTAAGTGTTTCAATTCATTCCAAAATCTCACCGGACCCGAACCAATTGTCCCGGCAAGTCACACAACAACTCTAAAGCTCAATTTGAGCAATAAATGGGGAAACGGGGTTGTAATACTCAAAACGACCGGTCGGGTCGTTACAGTTCGCTTCACATGCAGGCTACAAAAGTAGACTCTAACACAGTCTTGAGTCAGATTATATCGGTGGTTGAGACATCACAGACGTCAAAAGCTCCGATTCAGAAGTTAGCTGACTATGTGAGTATTATTTGGCATGTCTTTTGTCTAAATAGTGTCATGACACTTGCAAATTAACTGTTTCAGTGGTGTTGAACTTTATTATATCTGCTTGCTCTAGGACAAATTACTGACGACCTTGGAAAATCATATATGAATAGAATTCACGAATTCTAAGAATGCCCAGATAGGAACTATAAACCTCCTTTCTTTCCGTTACATATGATCCATTGTATGCTGTCAGATGTTCTCCCAGCATTTCTATCTAAATGTTGTTGGAGACTGTTATGATTTATCCTCATGGATCTGTAAAGTGGTGCTCTGCGAAGCATGTTTCAATGTCTCAGTTTATTCTTTTGACCACATCAAATATTAGAATGCCGAATTGAGTGTTCAACAGTTTGAGTAGCTGAAAATCATATCAGTTTAGGTTCGACTAATGAATTCTTTATTTTCAGTTTACTTATTGTTTCTTGACCACTAAGATATGCTATTGAAGTTGTATAAACTCCAACCCTGTAACAATTTCACTCTTTACGTAGTCCCTTTATCAAAGGCTTTTTAAATAAAATTTCATTTCATTAGCAAGAAATGACAAGGACAGTAAAGGATAGAGTTTGGGCCATGGCCATTGATGTACAAAAATCTACCAAGTGTGATCTGCGATGTAAATTTTTTTTCTTTTTTTATTCCCTCCCTCCCTACCTTGCTCTTGGGTGACTCGAACTCGTTGGAAGTGAAGGGTGCTCACCATTTGAAATTATACTACACAAGAACAACCAATGAAAGTATACTACACTTGAAATCTAATATTATAATTGAAAGTATACTACACAAGAACAACCAAACACAGGCGCAAATCGTCTATAGAAAGATCTATTGAATCATTAATACTCTCTTGACCATTTATCTTAAGAACCAAGAAAATTAATTTTTAAGAAAAATATTTTTAATGCACCCAATACAATATATTAAATAGATACTTCATCTTCTGCTACTGTAGATAGAATGAAATTTTTAATCATGCCAAATCTTAACCTATGAGAAGATACCCAAAAAAAATAGGATTAACTCTACTTTTCACATTATCATAGGTAAGGAGCAAATCTTACTTCTGGCTTCATTGACTTCACCATTTCATGCTACAATACAAAGTAAAAGATATCAGCTAAAGATGGTAGATGCATTAACTCATTTCTCCACTGACCTACTTGATCAAAAGCTCTAGAAGCATAGACACCACTGCTAATAAATGTGGAGTTGCAATATTGCCACAAAAGGACTATATCCCAAATAACACATTATTAGAATGTGTACCTAAATTACAGTTCCTCCGCAAATTGATCTTAGTATACTCTATGAAAAATTATCCACTAAAATAATATGAAATTTTAACCTAATACGTTTGGGCTCGGGCTCAGCACGGGCAATTCTCCACTAGTAATATAGAAATGGGAGTTGAAAGTGTACGAACAGTCGAACAGGGGCAATTTAGGAATTTAGATATTTGTCATAGACATTTTCGTACTTTGATTTTTCAATTCTTCTGACACGTGTTTAATGTCTACTCCCATGACTCTGATTTTTAATTCTTTCTTCGGATTCGGACTTATCGGTCTTCTTCTTCAAACTTTTCTTTCTGCTTCTCTTTCTTCCTCTGTTCTTTTTGCTCCAAATTTGCATGCGCTTGCGGAATCGCACCTCAGTAAGCTCCTGTTGATCATTTTTTATTTTTGCATGTATCCTCTCTGTTTTCAGAGTTATTTGTGCAATCGTTCTTCTATTTATTGTACTTCCTTTGTATCACAATTTTGTGTGTATAGGTTAGTTTTATTCTTTTTTAATAACATATTGCTAGAACTTTTACATGCATATCAGCGATTGTGCCTGATTTGCACATGCATTGTGTCTTTTTGATGAATTTTGTCATTGTTACCAATAATTAATGCAGAATAACATGTTTTTTTGAGGTGGACTATGCACCTAAGCTGTTTGATTATATGTTTGCCAGGTAATTTGGACCTCTTACCACGGCCAGTGTCAATTGCGCCTACTGCTTCACATTAGAAAAAAGTTTGCTTTTTTCTTCTTCTTTTTTTATATGTTTTAGATTTATGCTTTCTCCTCCTCCTTTTTAATAGAAATGTATTCATTACGGATATAATAGCTAGAAAATGTAATTTACTGCAATAAATATATACTATAACCATCCTATAATCTTAACCAGCTACCTAAACAAGTTGGTAATTCCTTTTAACATAAAAAAATATATTACTGACAATAGGGATATGTTCTCTGTTGGATGTTCAGTCTTCAAAGACAAAAGAGACTCAAAGTGAAGTGACAAACTGTTAATACAATACTGCATATATTTGCTAGGCATTTTTTTTTAAACAAGGTGTCACAAACACCGTGAGATCAAGTTGTTTTTGATGCAGTGTTTCCATGCTTTCTTTCTTGACAGGAAGATAGGTCATTTTTTACCCTCACTTTTTTGACAGAGACAATTTCTTTCTTACTGATATCACTAAACAGATAGGACCAAGAAACATATAGAGAAATGAGCTACAATTGTTCTTCGTAATTTATAATACTGATGGACCTTATTGTTGACGTTGAATCTCTTGACAAACAGATAATAATTACATTTTCTGAGAGAAGTAAGGATGAGGTTGCCAATAAATATGGAGGAGGCAAAGCTGCTTACAGCTGTTGCTAGCAACTTCAACAGGAAATTTGGATGATGTAAATTTCCTTTGTACTCTATTTACTCCTCTATGATTGAGGCTGTTGAGAGTGAGAACTGCCTCCACCATAACAATAACATACAGGCACAAACTTAAGGAGCAAGTGCAATATTGTGTGGATTATCTAGAGGAAGTTAGTAAGCTTGCCTAGGTGAAGGTTGAGGTTTCAAAAGTTAAGGTGCCATGAATAGAAAACATTGTACTAACCTCCCTTTTGGATTATACTCTTTGAAAAGACTTGATTTCTTCATTTTGAGACCGGAAAGACACCAAAAAACTGTATTTGGCTGGTTAATGTAAAATTATGGCCTTGCGCTGGTTCTTGATCGAGGGGAGAAGATTGAGCTTTGTCGATGAATCTGCCATCTTTTTTATGCTTCTGTATTTTTATCCTAATTGGGAGATAATTCTTACATCAAAAAGGTAGGTACCGTGCATTCTGACCTACAAAATCACAGCTGCCCCACTATTATAAGGTATTTAGTTCTGTTTGTTTAAATTGAAAATTCATCTATTCGTTTGTAACAATGATTGTTGCTTTTTATGTCTTTCTGCTTTTTAGCAGTCAAACAAGTTCTGCGGGGCAGGGCTTTGCATTGCTTTAGCTACTTTGAGATTCTTTGGTGTCTTCTGATTGGGGGATATACTTAATACTTTCGGAAAATCAAAGTATTCTTATTTTTTATGTATGTATGTATGCTCTTTTTAGCTTTCTTCTCCTACTCTTTTATTTAAAGATCAATTGAATTGTAAAAACCCCTAATTTCAAAATTTAGGTTAAAAACTCAAATCCTTAAATAAAATATAAAGTAAAAAAATTTACCTACATGCAACACTTGAGGAATGAAAAGAAATAATAGAAAACGAATTCAGAAGACGGAAAAAAAAGAAAAATAAAAAATAATGAAGGAAGAAGAAGGAGAAAACCATCAAAGAATCCATACATGAACAGTTCCGCTAATTGAAATGCATATAGAAGATAAATGTGAGATTCTAGATTGTACTAATGGAGTGCAGCAGTGAGGCATTTAATATTCGTTGGGCGGTGTGGGATCATGTAAAAGGGGGCGACTACTACATGTTTCCGACATGGACTTGGTGGGGACTCTTCCGTATCTAAATAGACTAGCAAGGAAAGTCTGTGCTATGCACGGGCCCAACATGATTAGCATGGTTTTCTAGGTTAATTGAAGTCTTTTAATACAATATTATAGACAGCATCTGAGAAAAGGTTTTTCAGAACAAAATAGAAAACAACGTTGTGTACAACACTAAAGACAGTCATAATTGTCACTATATTGCAGGCTAATATACAAAGGTATTCTATGTGCCATCACCTTAGCTATAAATACCCAAATTTTTGAGTTTGAAAACTAAATACACCTTCTAAAGTTGATGCAACTCCTGTTTTTGTCCATCTGCAACTATCTATTTGAAATATCAAGTGTGTGATATGGAAACCTTTAAGGATGAAAAGAGTTAAACTTTTCTTCCATAATGGAGTAATCTGATGCAATACAAATTATAAGGTTTCAACGGCAATTTAGAATACCAATAGTTATGAAGTTTACTGCTTGAAAAGTATGGAAGATAGTAGAAGCACAAAAAGAGTTGAGCTTTGAAATATATAGCTCAGACTAAAAAGAGAAAAATATGTAACAGTTAAATCTCTTTGTAGCCTTTCAAAATAAATTTGGACAGAGAGATGTCAATATCTTTTTAGTTGAAAGGGGCAAAAATTAGTCATATAAGCTTCAACTTTCATCACTGTCCTAGTAGCTAAAACAGATAATCAAAACTGTTTTGTAAGACCAATTATACCATGAGAAATCATTAAACCATAACGACTGCAACTCTTTTTGGGGGTAAATATAACGACTGCAATTTTGAGAAGCCAGTTGGCTTGATATAATTGTGCAATCATCTATTTCATCTTCTTTCGGTCTCAATCTTATGATAGACCACACTGACTTTTAAAACTGAAGCAAGTCTTTCTTTCCCATATATCAAGCTCATTTTGATGTCTTATCAAGCACATGCAAATGAAAAAAAAATATTCATCCTAAATCCTCGAGATAAGACCAACCTTTTTCCTAATCACTGGCCTAAAAATTTTGATAACTCTATAAACCCGTATGCCTTCTCTTTACTATCATCAATTGCAGCGTTTGCAAGCTACTTCCGAGTCTATTTTTTTTTTTGACGACTCGAGAATATTGACGAAAAGGTAATTTCTTCGTCTTTTTCATGCTCTCTTTTTTTTCCCTCTTTTTTTTTTTTTTTCTTTTTGTAGGTCAAACGACAAGGATGTGTTCTTTAATAATATGATCCATGCATGAAGAAGACAATCATAGGGTGTCCGTCCAAATATCAGAGAAATTACTCTCAAGGTGGCTCGACTATCGGAGGAATTACTCTCAATGTGGTTTGACTATCGGAAAGATTATGTTAAACCCCATATTTCCGTACGTGAAAGTATGCCATAAGTAAATTGATGTAAGCTCAAAAAGGATGAAATCCTTCTACAAGGCTAAGGAAGGTTTATCGAAGTATTAAGTAAGTTAGGATGAATGAGACTTTTTAATCATGATTTAAATGAGTTTAAAGTCGTGATATGGCTATATATGATATTTGGATATAAAATATAAAGTTTGGGAAAAAAATCGGATTTAAGTTGCGGAAAAACCGACTAAGAATTTGCCTTGTAATGAAGTGTTTTGAGCAATACATTTCATGTGTTATATGAGGTCTTTTTGGGACATATTATATACCAAAATGAAGTTCTTGGAACCTAGTTTCCAACAGTCCAAACCATTTATTCATACGACATCGGGGTGGAGAAATATGGATTTTTAAAGTAGGGTCGCCAAGTCACGTTGCCGCACTTCGGAGAAACTGGCAGGTTTATAGGCCAAGTTGCGACGCATTTTTCTCCCAATATATTGAGAGTTTCATGGAGATTATTTATATGGAACTAAAGCCCTATGTGTTTAGTTTCTAACGCTGTAAACCGTTTGTTAATACGATATCCGAATAGAGAGATACAAGTGTCCGAAGTGGCACTGCTCAAGCTGCCAAGCAGGCAACTTACCCACCTGCTTGGAAAATTGAGGCGGTGGTCTTATCCCCTTATATCTCGTCAACAATACAGATGTTACTCACACAAAACCACTCTCAAGATCTACAAAATCATCCCTAACATATCTCAAGGTCACAAGAACCAAACTCAAGGAAACAACAACTCAAATCATCATCAAAGATGTTAAAGACTACAAGAGAATGCTTCTATGGTGTTGTGATGTGATTGAGGGCTATTGTGAGCTAAGTTGAGATAGGGTTTCGAGTTGTAGCTGTTGTACAAGGTATGTATAACATCATCTTGATTGTGCCTAAGTTTAATCTTGTGTTGGTTGTGTTGTTTGAGTGAAAAGTCGTAAGATAGCACTTGAAAGAACATGGGATATGGTTGTCTTTTTGGTTGGACTATTTTGTGGCTAAATATATGATTTGTGGTGGCTGAAAATTGTAAAAAATAATTTAATGATGTTGTGGTTGATGTTGTTAAGCTTTTCTAGGTGTTAATTAAGTTGATTGGAGAAGAAAAGATGAAAAACAAGTGATTGACGATAAAAATTAAGGTGCTAGATGTATGGGGCTATTTTGGAAGGTATTTTGTGGATGTTTTAAACTAGAAATAATATGGTACATATAAGTATGATGTTCTGAAGGTTGTAAACTAATTTATGGAATAAGATTTGAATTCAATTTATATCTTGTTATGAGTAAAAACGAGATTGCTGCTCAATATGATTGTTAAGATAATCAGAGAAACTCATATTGGATTGTATCGTTGTTGTTGCTATTGTTGGTTATAGTTTTTGTTGTTGGGCTGTCTTTGGGTTGTATTAAAAATAGGGGAGTTGCTGTCCGATTTTCCTTAAGTCATACGACTAGCCAAATACGATGGTACGGCGTTATATGTTAACGACAATATTATTTCACTTGCTGTAGATGAAAGAAGTTGTGTTGAGCTTGGTTGAGTAATAAGGATGAGATCATATAGGTATGTTAAGGCTATCCCTTCTTTCGGTTTGGCATGATCTAAGTAACGATACGTAAACGTAATGTTATTTCATAAATGGTCCTACTCTTAGTAACTAAGAAGGTCTACGTTATTCATTACTGTAAAATGATATTCAAGCATGTCTAAGTATGTATCTAGTCCCCTATGGAGGTATTTGATAAAGATGTTAATGTTTTTAATATAGTGATACATGCATCTTCATGCATTTACCATCGTGCTAAGGCCGGTCGGGCAGTTACCACCGGTTGAGCAGTTATGTATCATTATTTACCGCCTGTTGGGCAGACATGCATATTCATTTACCACCGAGCTACGACCGGTCGGGCAGTCATGCATTTACCACCGCGCTACATCCGGTCAGGCAGTTACCATCGGTTGGGTAGTTATGTATCAATATTTACCACCGGTTGGGCACTCCGGCATATTCATTTACCACCGAGCTACGACCGGTCGGGCAGTCATGCATTTACCACCGAGCTACGGCCGGTTGGACAGTTATACATTTACCACCGAGCTACGGCCGGTCGGGCAGTCATGCATTTACCACCGCGCTACGGCCGGTCGGGCAGTTACCACTGATCAGTTGGGCAGTCATGCATCATACGATATAGATAAGAGCCTCAAAGAGAAGCATTATATATATAAGTATAATAAGTATGCATATACAGTGACACTTCAGATATTCAAGTTGATTCTTATATGTCTTTAGTTAATGTTGATTTATTGTTATGTTTCAGTTCCGCCTTACATACTTGGTACATTATTCGTACTGACGTCCTTTTGTTGGGGACACCTACATTCATGTCTGCATGTATAGATAATCAGTTTGACGAGCCCTCATAGTAGACGAGATTGGCATTCAGCGAAGGATCGGTAAGATTCCACCTCATTCGGAGTGCAGCCGAGTCTATGAGTCATCGTGTCAAAGTTTTGATACAGACTTGTGGGTAGGCCGGTACCCTACCCCATTTGATGTCAAATAATATTAGAGAATTTGTAGACAGAGGTACATTTTTTACAGTATGTCAGAGGCCTTGACGGCCCATATGTATTCATGTTTTAAGAAAAATGGTTCAGTGATACAACGTTTGCCCACTTATGGTTATACGTTACGAGTTGTGGCCATGTTGGCCCATGGTATTTACAAAGAAAAAAAAGAGTTATAGAGTGATTAGCTTGGGCAAGTACGGCACCGGGTGCCAGCCACGCCTCCCCAGGTTTGAGGCGTGACAGATTACTCTCAATGTGGCTCGACTATCGGAGAGATTACTCTTAATGTGGCTCGACTATCGGAGAGATTACTCTCAATGTGGCTCGACTATCGGAGAGATTACTCCCAATGTGGCTCGACTATCGGAGAGATTACTCCCAATGTGGCTCGACTATCGGAGAGATTACTCTCAATGTGGCTCGACTATCGAAGAGATTACTCCCAATGTGGCTCGACTATCGGAGAGATTACTCCCAATGTGGCTCGACTATCGGAGAGATTACTCCCAATGTGGCTCGAATATCAGAGAGATTACTCTCAATGTGGCTCGACTATCGAAGAGATTACTCTCAATGTAACCCGACTATCGGAGAGATTACTCTCAGGGTGTGAAGGAATGGATACTCATCCCTGCCCAAAAA